AGATATATATATATATATATATATATATATATATATATAACTGCTCCTTAAATTTTCATACATGTTAACCCTAATCTCCCATTGTGTAAATCTGTTGTCTGTGTGTGTGTGTGTATCTATATATAACATACGAGATTGATTTTACTTTGTCACGCGACATGTCTGATGTTGTGGAATCGATAGATAATGAGGAATCCACTTTGAAATATTTCAATATTATTATCCACACTGCATGAATGAACCGAGTGGTTAGAATTATGGCGTGTGCGAAAACACGGTCCGATTCAGACCCCGATTCCCAACGGCATTATTGTAATATGCAAGGAGCATGCTTTTTTTTTTTTTTTTTTGTTGAACAAGATAATGAGCACTTGTACTGTCTTAATTTAGATTTCGGGCATGGCTAACCCTTAAAGACTTTAAGTGAATAGTAGTGGGAGAGTTTATTAACGCACGTGACGACACATATATGACACAAATCAGTGTGAAATTCCACAAGTATTTAGTTCGAACTATGTAACATCAATATATATATATTGTATGAAAGTTTTCGATCGAAATTATGATAACTTCGTCGATAAAATGAAACAATCTTTTACCTTTTCAAACCCATGCGGTGAAACTCTACGAAGAAAGGAACCGTACGGACATGCGGAGTTTAAGAAATACACCGACTCTTCAAATACAGACGGAGGAGAAGGAAAAAACCGTACGGACGGTCATGCAAGTGGTGACAAGGCCATCGTACGGACGGCACTTGATCACGTATCATGTAAAATTCCCGCAAGTAGATTACTATATTATATATATATATATAAGACTCGGAGTCATAACATTAACGGGTTTTCTTTACCATTGAAATCAAATTGATATCGGCAGCGATTTCAATCTGTAACAAATCGATTTGATGTTAATCGCGTCTACACTTATATGCAGTATAATTAATGCAAAACATACCATATTGGGGGGGGGGTCACATTCATACAGATATATATAATATAGGACTATACAATCATATGTAATTGTAAAATTTTATTCAGACAAAAAAGTTTACTAATAAAAAATGAGGTAAATTCGCATAGAGTCTGCAAGAAGAGAGGGGAGAGTCTCACAAGTAGCCGAAGGGTTGGTCCATCCACAAAAAAAAATTTAATAGATTCGCCCTAATCAATTCTAAGATCAAAATTAGATATCATATTATTGAAAACTTTTCGCTAATCACATTTAAAATAATATAACCAACAAAAGAGCGTATATTATTCATACGTGTCGGTGTTACGGATAAAAACGTCAAATATTTGCATCAATCTTTTGAAACGATTAGACATCGTCTTAAATGATATAATTAGTGTGTGTATATATATATATACATATGATATCATAGAGTTGATCGGATTCTATCATATACATGTATAGATCGTCATGTGCATATACATATATACGTTATACGTGTATATATAGCGTCATTATATTCAAGTGGAGGAGATTGGGGACCTTGAGCATGTGGGCATATGCTCTCTTTTGGCGACAGTTTCATTTTCTTGCATAAAATGGTATAATATTCCTTCTAAAAGGCATATGGTGCTTAGCTCACTGTTCACCAACTCTAAAATGAAAATATTCTTTTTTTTATTTAATTTTATGAAATTTTCAAAAATATTCATATCCTACTAAATTGTGTTGGATTTGATAAGTTATATAATATCTGTTCACTAAAATGGATATATCGGTAAAAAAAAAACCTTCCTATATTATTTTCCATAAGTTGAACGTTGTGATATCATACGTATAATATTTCTTCATTCTTGGTTACGTACTAAAGAAATTTACATGATACCTCAATTTCTGAACGCTTCCTCTCAGCAGCCTATTTGTAGACTGGTTTAGAAGTCGGATTCACAATCTCGTCTTTTCGCAGTTTGCGTTTGCGACCTTTCTTCTGCGAAAAATCGAGAAAACGCAGTTCAATAACGAATTTTGGTTCGATAATTGGCTATCAATTGGACAGTTGTTATCATTCACCGGTGAATTGGGGCCTCGCATGCTGGGAGTTCCTCTATACTCCACGGTTGCCGAAGCCTGCTCTTCCTCGGGTTGGTTGTTGCAACCTGCTCGGACAGATGTAGCAGCTACAATCCATCAGTCCCTGCTGCAACATGCTCACCCTTGCTCCAATTCTGATGCCGACAGATTTTTCTGGTCCGAAACACACTCAGACGGCACCATGCCGAGATTCTCAACCAAGAAGACCTGGTCTTGCATATCACCTCAGTCACCGCAAGTGCCTTGGAGCAAGGAGATCTGGTTCCAACATTCTGTTCCGAAACACTCGTTTATCACTTGGCTGGTGGCTCGAAATAGGCTACCCACTCGTGACAGGGTAATCTCTTGGGGAAGGAATTCACCAAGCAACTGCTTACTCTGTCAAGTTGGCGTAGAGTCAGTCGACCACCTCTTCTTTGTCTGCTCGTACTCCTCCCGAATTTGGCAGCGGGGATTAGCTCAATCGCCCAAGTATAATTAATGCAAAACATACCATATTGGGGGGGGGGTCACATTCATACAGATATATATAATATAGGACTATACAATCATATGTAATTGTAAAATTTTATTCAGACAAAAAAGTTTACTAATAAAAAATGAGGTAAATTCGCATAGAGTCTGCAAGAAGAGAGGGGAGAGTCTCACAAGTAGCCGAAGGGTTGGTCCATCCACAAAAAAAAATTTAATAGATTCGCCCTAATCAATTCTAAGATCAAAATTAGATATCATATTATTGAAAACTTTTCGCTAATCACATTTAAAATAATATAACCAACAAAAGAGCGTATATTATTCATACGTGTCGGTGTTACGGATAAAAACGTCAAATATTTGCATCAATCTTTTGAAACGATTAGACATCGTCTTAAATGATATAATTAGTGTGTGTATATATATATATACATATGATATCATAGAGTTGATCGGATTCTATCATATACATGTATAGATCGTCATGTGCATATACATATATACGTTATACGTGTATATATAGCGTCATTATATTCAAGTGGAGGAGATTGGGGACCTTGAGCATGTGGGCATATGCTCTCTTTTGGCGACAGTTTCATTTTCTTGCATAAAATGGTATAATATTCCTTCTAAAAGGCATATGGTGCTTAGCTCACTGTTCACCAACTCTAAAATGAAAATATTCTTTTTTTTATTTAATTTTATGAAATTTTCAAAAATATTCATATCCTACTAAATTGTGTTGGATTTGATAAGTTATATAATATCTGTTCACTAAAATGGATATATCGGTAAAAAAAAAACCTTCCTATATTATTTTCCATAAGTTGAACGTTGTGATATCATACGTATAATATTTCTTCATTCTTGGTTACGTACTAAAGAAATTTACATGATACCTCAATTTCTGAACGCTTCCTCTCAGCAGCCTATTTGTAGACTGGTTTAGAAGTCGGATTCACAATCTCGTCTTTTCGCAGTTTGCGTTTGCGACCTTTCTTCTGCGAAAAATCGAGAAAACGCAGTTCAATAACGAATTTTGGTTCGATAATTGGCTATCAATTGGACAGTTGTTATCATTCACCGGTGAATTGGGGCCTCGCATGCTGGGAGTTCCTCTATACTCCACGGTTGCCGAAGCCTGCTCTTCCTCGGGTTGGTTGTTGCAACCTGCTCGGACAGATGTAGCAGCTACAATCCATCAATCCCTGCTGCAACATGCTCACCCTTGCTCCAATTCTGATGCCGACAGATTTTTCTGGTCCGAAACACACTCAGACGGCACCATGCCGAGATTCTCAACCAAGAAGACCTGGTCTTGCATATCACCTCAGTCACCGCAAGTGCCTTGGAGCAAGGAGATCTGGTTCCAACATTCTGTTCCGAAACACTCGTTTATCACTTGGCTGGTGGCTCGAAATAGGCTACCCACTCGTGACAGGGTAATCTCTTGGGGAAGGAATTCACCAAGCAACTGCTTACTCTGTCAAGTGGGCGTAGAGTCAGTCGACCACCTCTTCTTTGTCTGCTCGTACTCCTCCCGAATTTGGCAGCGGGGATTAGCTCAATCGCCCATTCGTCCGCCGTTCCTAACTACTTTCTTGGAGACCCTGTCATGGTTGAAGACTTGTACTACCTGCAGGCTTCTGAGAATCATGGTACTACTATTTTTTCAAGCATCTGTGTACTATATATGGCTGGAACGAAATTGCAGGGCACATGGCGCGTCTCCTAGGCCGGCAGAGGTTATCCTTAAGGATATTCTCAGACATACTAGACGTAAAATATCATCCTTTCGACCTGATTTCATTGCTAATCCTGACGGTGATTCAATGCTGAGTATTTGGTTCCATTACTTTGACCGATTGTAATCCGCTTTTGTTTTTGCGTATCTAATTGTGATGTAACTCGGAATTCTCTTCTGTATTTGGGCAGCGTACATATATAAAAATTTAACATTTAAAAAAAAAAAAAAAAAAAAAAATAACGAATGCTCTAGGCGCCGAAATATGTGGATAAAAGGTGTATAAAAATGGACCTGTAGCTCCTTCTGCTCTACTCTTACAGTCCTCAAGATCTCTGCAGGATCTCTCTACCTTCCTGTAGACAACAATATTCACTCATCTTTCTCGTCTGGTTATCGGTTTTTCATTCGGAAAGTGATACAATATACCTTTTAATATGTTTCGGAGTATTATCCTCCGAACCATCACCCGGGTTTTTTTTGCTGGAAAGGTGTGACTCCCTTAAAACAATGTAGTTGCAATGCACATCATATAACAAGGGTGATGGCTTAAATTCCCATGAAACACGCATTTTGTCACATGAGAGAGGCAGGAAGAATATCGCGAAAGGACCAGCTATACAGCCTCGTGATCAAGGTAAAGATGCTATAATGCATGTCCTACCATGACTTGTATCCAATCATCGATGCGAAAAAGTTTGAAACTATGTGATTAAAAACAATGATTAAAGGAAGGGTTTTCAAACCTGTCTTGTGCAAAGTAAACATGATTTCCACCCACCGGATGGCCAAGACAGTGCAGACTGACCGTAAGTTTTTCGATTCTCTACAAGGAGGAGTAAAAACTTAAGAAAACGGTAGATAAAACAGTAAAAAGGAGGCGCTTGCAAAGTTCGGCCCTATCTTAGAGGGGGATAGTCCACTTTTTTCTCGCTTTGCAATGTCAGAAAAATGTATTGAATATCTTGAGTCTTCATTTGCATAAGCTCTTTTGCAGTGTACTTCTTCACTTTGCTCCTGAGCTTATCAGAATTACAGGTACGATATAAGAAACGAAACCGGAAATTGCGAAAGAATATCAGCAGCAAAGAGATTTTGTTGACTTACATGGACGTATGAACTCCATCAACCAACTTTGCTCTGATCATCTTAAAACTAAATTCATCTGGGTTCTTGAATTCTGCCTTCTCCCTAGATTTCTTTGAAGGAGCCATTAGATTCTTCTTCCATTGTCTGAAACATTCCAAAATCCATGACAAGATTCAGAAAATAAAACAGAATCTTGCGGGGGCTTTCAAACTTCGAATTGAACGATCATGATACAGATGCACAGAATAAGGAAACTAAACATAATCGAATACCACCAAACTCGGGCCACTTCGAATCACATAATTGAATACCACCAAATTGAAACCGATTTCACATTCTCTCGCATCCAATTCCATAAATTCATCCACAGAACTTAACGGAAATGCAGGAATTATGATTTTTAAAACCTATTAGGAGTAACAGAACCGTACATCGAAAGCGTCTATGCAAGGATAGAGAGAAGGAAGATCAAGATTCCAAGAACTTACCTACCAGAACTGGAATCACTCGGAAACGATTGACGGAACGCCAGAAAAGGAGAAAGGAACACCGGGGGGAGAGAGAGAGATCGGAATGAAGAGAGAGAACTGCTGATTCGATGATCGATTCGAAGAAAGAAGAGGAGGATAGAAAGGAGCAAGAAGAAGAAGATGATGGATTTTGGGATATAACCGCCAAAACTTCAAAATCAAATGTCAATAAACTTCTTTTTATGTAAAAAAAAGAGTCAGACGTTTGTCGCAATATATATATATATGTACGTATATATGTGTGAGCAATTGCATACTCGGGCTCGTGATTGACAAAGTTGGGCCTCATACATTATTTTGGGCCTAATTGCTTCAATCTACAATCAGACAACTCCTGAGCACGCGCACGCCTCGCGCGTTGCTGTTACGCGTGTGATTTTCGCGAGTATTACATACTTCTACAAAGTTTTAAAAACTGCGCTCGCACACACACACAGACACACATATATGCACGAATAGATATATAATTTTTTATCTTTTAAAAAATACATCAATTTACAATTTTTTTTAAAAAAATTTTTACATGGCAAATTGGATAACATTAACATTATATGATACAAATATTTAAAATTAAAATAAAAAACTAATAATTTAATATTTAGAACTAAAAATTATTATATACATATATACATATTGAAATGTATATATACATATATATTCAAAGTGAAATATATATATGTATATATACACGCATTTCAAAATAAATATTATACATATATAGATACATATAAACACACATATATATATACATATAAATTTACATAGACATACATTACACATTTACACACACATATGGTCTGGGAATTTAAGAAAAAGTTACAAATTCATACATTTTTGGGAGAAAAAAATCATGCATTTATTAACAAGATTTGAATAAATTCAATTTTTTTTTCTTAATAGCTGTTTCTATAGGCAATCGATTTAAATTAAACAACTATTTTATTATTAATTCTAAAATTTTAAAATAACTGAATAATAAACCAAACGGTTGATCACCGTCGGCATCTCGGAACACCGCCGCCTCGGCCACCGCGACGTCCGCCTCTACCTCTGAAACAGCCTCCTCGTACATGTCCAAGAGACTGCACACGTCTCCTCTTCTTTCCATATCCTTCCTCCTCCTCGTACATGTCCGAGAACCAAAGCGCTTGGGATCCTCCGGGCCCGAGTTTCGCACCCGAGGCCTTGTCCTGACTTTCGTCCAGAGCCTTGACTCGCTTGCCCAGAGGAGGAGCGTCTTCTTCCGCAATCGAGACCCGGTTGTAGGACGTTCCTGCGTGTCGTTCATCCTTGACTTTGAACAACCTACACACAGGAAGAAAAAAGACGATGTTTTTAGATCCGATACCATATACGGATAGAGCGTAGATCAGAGGCGGTAGCGGCTTTACTTTGGAGCTTTTGATTTCTTGCCTCGCCTCGTCGTCCCATGACTCCAAGCCCTGTAAATAACGAGATCATCACAAGCACAATAATCAGAAACAAAACAAGAAATCGCAAAAGAATATCAGCAACAAAGAGATTCTGTTGACTCACTTTGGCTTATGAACTCCATCAACCATCTTTGATCTGATCATCTTAAAATTAAATTCATCTGGGTTCTTGAATGCTGCCTTCTCCCTGAGCCTCTGCGAAAAACAATAGAGAAGAAACGACATCAGAGATACAACATTGCGATCAGATACAAAACGTAACCCGAGGTTCCAATATGGGCTACGACCTGAGGATTTGCTACAAGACTTTTCTTCAACTACCAATATCCAAGAAGAGGTGGGCATTGAAAGACACCAAAACATATCAAACTAACTACATGGACCGACATATAAATGTACTTGTCATCTCAACAAAGAGGGCTGTCGAGAAGTCCATTGCAAATTCATTCGACTTCAAAGAGAGAACATAAAAAAAAGGAACCTGCAAAGCCTCCTGTTTCTTGTGGTAGGCATTTGCACGGATTTTGTAATCCTTATGCTTCTCAAGAAGACCATATTTCTTCCTCTCTTGCCTGAAAGATATAACAATCTCCAAAAATTAGAAAAAAAAAGCAGGCAACAAAGATGAAGAAGAAGAAAGAAGACTAATTACATACGGTTGAGCTCGCTCCCTATGAATCCGTCGCATGTTTGGTGATGGCTGTCACTGCAAAAATCAACTTCCTTTTTATCAAATCTAATCACGAAAACTGCAGGCACCGGCTCGGTGTAACCATGACATGCCTAGAAATCAAATATAGAGGCATCACGAATTGCTCTTCGAAGAGATTATAAACGGTAGTAATGGTTTCACATTATCGTGATGAAGACAATGAAATTACCCAAATTTTCACTATCACTAAATTATGTTCAAAACAAAGATCATACTTTCTCTCCCAAAACAGTGAAACTACCCAAATTCTCATAAATCAATACCAAGTACACTGATTTTTGTTAAATGCACTCCTCACTTGGAAGGCGAATCCTCCATGGCGATATAACTTACAATTATACAGTGTTTCAGGTATTCACTCAACAATGACACATCCGTGTCAGTGACAGCGTCTGAACGCGATTAACAACAAAAATCAAAATTCAGACACCCATATCGTATTTTCATCCCAAGCAATCAACGCAGATACCGAAACAGCTTTCACCGCTCAATAAAAGCAATGAAACCAGAACGAACAACAAAAAACTCAGGCGATTAGCCATTAAAAGAGGAAGGATAGAGATAAGTTGGCAACTTACCGGAAAATTACAAGAGGGAACGGAGATTATGGAGAGCGACGACGCCGATGAGCCGATTCAATGAATAGGATTAGGGTTTAGTTGCTTTCTTTCTATTTTACAGTAACTGGGCATGACCTATAATATCAATATCCCTTTTTATAGGGTGTCGACAGGAGAGAGACTTACAATAATACCCCTACCTTTAAAACCAAATCCCAAAAAAGGTATGAGAGCCGAAGGGTTGGTCCGTCCACATATAAAAAAAAATTAATAGATTCTCCCTAATCAATTCTAATAACAAAATTATATCAAGTCACCGAAAACTTTTCGCTAATCACATATATATTAATATAACCAACCAAAGAGCGTATATTATTAATACGTGTCGGTGTTACAGATAAAAGCGGCAAAGATTTACATCAATATTTTCAATGATTAGACGTCGTCTCTTAAATGATATAATTAAATATATATATATATATACGTGTGACACCATAGAGTTGATCGGATTCGATCCTATACATATATAGATCATCATATATATATACACATACATATCGTCAATGTGAAGAAGCAAGATAAACATTTTTCGCTAGAATATGAATTTATATATTATGTAATTTTGCATCGACTTCGGTTGATCAGATTCGACTTTTATATATTATTCTATTTGAATCCCTATATGATAAATGTAAACTAAAACATGATAAATATTTTCAGATTCCAAAATTTCAAAATGGCGACAAGAATATCACAAAAACAATAACGTTATAACATATCATCATCATCGTCGGCCTCTCCCACCACCGCCGCCTCGTCCACCCCGACGGCCGCCTCTCCCTCTGAAACCACCGGGGATTCTAACCTGCTTCAGACCAAGAGACTGCACGCCTCTCCTCTTTTTTCCATATCCTTCCTCCTCCTCCTCCTCTTCCCTGTACTTGGCCAAGCTTCTCGCCCTGAACGAAATCTCTCGGGAACCTCCGGGCCCGAGTTTCACGCCCGAGGCGTTGTTCCGACTTTCCTCGAGAGCCTTGACTCGCTCGCCCAGAGGAAGAGCATCTTCTTTCGCGAGCGAGACCCGGTTGTAGAACGCTTCTGCGTGTCGTTCATCCTTGACTTCAAGTAACCTACGCCGGAAAAAAAAACGATGTTTTTAGATCCGATAACCATATGGATAGAGCGTAAGAATGTGTAGATCAGAGGCGCGGCTTTACTTTGGAGCTTTCGATTTCCTGTCTCGCCTTGTCATCTCGTCGTCTGAAGATTCCGATGCGTCAGAATCGCTCTTCTCGCTATCCTCCACGGGTTCAAAGTGTTCTTCCAACAAAGACGCTTGCTTCTCCGAAGAAGCCGCGATAGGATGTAAAGCCATGTATTCTTTCGATTCCTTGTCGATTTGGAAGTCCTGGAACCAAGAAAATTTTCCGGAATTTAGTCCGAGTCGTTGGGGCAAGTTTTTGCAAGAATACTAGTGAGAGAATAATATCGTAATACCGGGTTTTGGAAAATTGTTTTGAACCGGTCGTCTTCGAAAACGTCCCTCGAAATTCCAGGCTTCTTTTTCTTCGACACTTTCTTGCCGTCATTATCCTCGACGCCTTTCAGTTCCTCTTCAGTTTCCTCCTCGTGGAGGATGGTGGCCGCGAGCTCGCGATTTACCTTCGGTAACCTTCTCTTCTTCTGCGGTAAAAATACAACACAATGAATGATAACGAATCGTTTTAGGATGGTAACTGCACCATGTCGAGATAGAAAAAATACTGACAGTAATTCTCTGGCTACGTTCTGCTTCGAGTTTCTCTTGTTTTTTGCGTTCCAAGTAAGATTCGTAGGCAAAAGGATCGGCCACTGCCACAGCCTTTTTGTACAGACGGTAATCGACGAAGAACCCGTGCATGTAGGCTTTCAGGAGATCTGTTCCGATCAGATGAGACAGCTGCAATTTATCAAGATCTTGTCTTGTCAAGAACTTGTAGTTATCGTATATGGTCGTTTGACCAGTTTCCTCCAGCTCTTCCTGTGAACAATGTTAGCAGAGAGGTTTTCATCAATGGTGAAGAAGATACAAAGGAGAGTTAGTTAGGTACTATGATGCCCTTTAAACGAGGAGAATACCGTTAAATTCTCGAGAGTGGAACACCATTTCGGGGCGGGTCCAAGCTCGGGTATAAAGTAAGACGGAATTTGGCTAGAATCTAGAGCCAAAAGCATCAGCCCGCTTTCATTGAATACACAAATATCGTTTATTTCTCCTTGCGTCGGTTCAATGCTGGTCATACCTTCCCCCTGCAGATACGGGAATACGTCAAACACAATTTCGTGTATCGAAAACTGTAGATTATATTCCAAATTTGACAAGGTAAATCAGTTTTGTTCTTGTTGGAGGTTTTTACCGTATTGGGATCCCATACTCTCACGATGTGTTTGTCGGTAGTAATCAGCTTAGGTTGCTGAGAATTAAGAGTCTTTTGCCACTTGATATTCAGAATCGGGCTGCCATACCTGCAAAGTTTTCGAAGCATATAAATTCATATGAACATCTACTATGAAATAAATATTGAAGTTTCTTTAAAATGGAGAATTTTTACAAGAGGGTATTACTTACATGTGGTCTTTAACTCGTATGGGTGTTGATGTACGCAAGTCATAAATCAATACCTGCAGTAGAAGGAATTAATACAATACATTCAAACATACAAGATACTGAATCAAGATAATGAAATATACAGCCCAGACCTTGCCCGTACTACTCCCGATGGCAACTTGAATACCTTCAGTGTCGTCAAATTCTACAGCGGTAACCTCCTATAAAACAAGAAACAATGGCAAAATATTCTCTTAAAACAAATAAACAGAAGATCGTTGAAAATGCATATGCATTTTCAGGCAACATTTGTACGATGATCTAAGAGATTCTAGTCATTTGGAATTTTCACAAACACAGTCAATATATAAAGATTCACACAAAAGGGTCAAAACTCAAAGGGGAAGTACCGCATCAGTATCACCGCCATGTGAAACAGCATTTATCCGAGCAGCTGATGATTTCATTCTCGTATCGAAACATTCCACGGCACCATCATCACCCCCACAAGCCACTAACCCATGCAATTTGCTGAAATAAGCAAAGCATAAGGTGATGATGCAACACAGCGATATTTTTCACTACTCCAAATAAAGAAAAACAAAGCAAACATGGCAGTAAACCTCCGAGAAACAACATTCAGTGCTGGGGATTGAGTGCTGAGAGGGGCGAGAAATCTTCCCTAAAGAGAAGAAAATATGATTCCAGTCATTCTCCAGCAAGGATGGAAAATCAAGATAAGGAAAATCCATCAAATTGTTCTACCTGCTCCAGATTAATTCTATAGAGTTCAGGCGAAGAAGCAGCACAAAGCAGATCACAAGACCAGCTATCATACGCCATATCTCTACCCATCCTGTTAATGGACAACATAATATAGATCAAATACGACCCCAGGCTTTATGAAAATATTATATCAGAATCCGACTTTATCAGCATAATCAGCACCTTGGGATACGCAAACTGTAGTGCTTCCCATATTTTGCGTGTAGATTGACAGACCGATCAGCGCACAAGAATGCAAGCTTCGAGTAGTCATCATCCAATATCTATAGAGAAAATGAATTAGTGAACCACAAACACAATAGCAAACCAATAGGAACTCCTCATGTTGTCTCTGAATTATACATCACGTAGTAAGTACCTCGAAATCAACTATCTCGGCATCCAAGTGTCTCTCAAACTTCAAGGCAAGCTGCCTCAGTTCGTACACTTTGATCTGCGGTGGGTAGATGCCTGATTCCACAATATTAAGATTTAGGGTTCAGGGTTTATCCATCATATGAGACACGTATTAGGGATTCTTGCTAACAAGAAAAGCTCTAAAACCCAACAAGAGAACAGCAAAAACGTGCACCTGAAGCAATAAGGAACTCTCCATCAGGTGTTGCCTTAATTTTCGTTGTGGCAGTCTCAAATCTCAAGTCCTGAATTAACTCCACCCTTTGCGTATAATCTAACACAAAAGTTATCATAAAATTAACACATCGAACATGTTACCATCGAAATCATCAATGTTATCCAGGTTGAATCTTTACGGGGGGTTTCCTCAGAGATCATATCATGTATATGAGTAATAATTTGCATCCATAGAACCCTTCACGTGACCCAAAAGAAGAGATTTTGGTCATTAGGGTTTATGCAGGGTCTTAAAAAATTCTCTCTCTATCTAAGTTCCCGAAACAGAAAACTAGGTGGGACTTACTGGGATTTTTACGGAGTGCTCGTTGCTTCTTGGGATTAAGCCAAGTCGCAACATTGGGTGCAGATGAAACATGGTACATCTTAACACCATTGATGGAGGTCGATTTCAATCTCTCCCCGTAAGACGCCATTGCCAACTAGGGTGTGAGGTTATGGCGATGCGATTATCGAACTCCGATGGCGACAACGGCTTTGGTTTCGAAACAGTTGCCGTCGAACTATGATTTCCTGCAAAAACAGAAAGAACAGAAAATAGACACCGTGTTTACCGAGTTCAGATCGAACACGGAGTTCGAAATCGGACAGAGAAATAGAGCTTCCAAGTGGGGAACTGACCGGAAGATTGAACTAGAGATGTCGGAGAGCGGCGACGACGGCGAGCCGATTCAGTGGGTGGGGTTAGGGTTTAGTTGCTTCGTTCGTCTGGCTTTTCCTTTTGTCGTCGGTTTTTTTCCCAGTTTGCATTCTCTGCATGTTGGATTTATACTTAGGCCCATTAACTGTTTTTATATTTTGTTCAAGTTATAAATATTGATATATGTACTGGGGCGTGGTTTATAAAAAGAGAAGTAGCAGCCTCAGTTGGTTAAACACATAAGTGTGGGGGCTTTTTTGCAAATACTTGTATTTGTTCATAAACCCTACGTCGTGGTTCCGAAGCTTGGCCATTGCGACTCTGCTCTGGAGCTGGCGAGTTAACTCAGTTCTTTACTCGGCTTGACTCAGGATCGAAGGGAGAAGAGTCATGCAATTTTTATCGAACTCTCGTAGACTCGCTAGGGTTTTAAAACCCTTGGTTCTCGTTGAAGCTGATGCCAGATTCGTTTCCTCTGCTTCTCAAATCTCCGATTCTATCCAATGGCAGAAACATGGGTCTCCTTTGCCAATCGTGGTTCCAGGTAATGTTCATTGATCTCGCATTTTCCTTTATGTATTGCGTGTCGATTCCAAAAAAAAATAAAAATCATTCGTAGTTGTATGAATCATCATTGAAGCTTTTGTCTTAAGAGCATATTCAGCTCGTTAATTCTATTTAAAACTGATTGAGTTGACAAGATGAAGGGAATTTCTTGCTAGTTTGACTCATCTGCTTCGGATTTTGCCGGCAACTTTCTTTTGGTAGTTAAATTGTATTGGCATAGAAGCTTCCAAATGAAATACTTCGAGATATTGAAGATGAAATTCTAGTCTAATTATGCATCTTAGATCGATTTTTCAGCAGTTGAACATAGTTTAAAGTTTCTTCCTTTCTCCGAAAAATACGTTAATTTTAGTCTTCACCATCTTCATCCCGAGATTTTTATTGGTTGATTCTTCTCTGGTGCAACTATTTATGCAACACAGGTGCATATCCCTTTCTTTTTTCTCATAGAAGATTCTAAAGGTTGTAATGGTGGAACAGTGGTTTTAAAGCTTTCCTCTTTGCAAATTTTCTTACAAAATAGTTTTGTGACCGGTGACAGTCAAAAGGTGTAGGGAATGATGGATGCAGTCACTTGCACTCTCAAGTGCCCATTATGGGACTGATGATATCCAGAGCAAGTTTTTCATCAGAAGCAGCAAAACTTGAGGGAAATCCTACAGGTATCTGATCTTTCGTTTCATTCAGTATCACATCCGGAGTTTTCCAGAATGGTTTCTGATTATATTCTGCGTATACAGAGTCTGTCAAGGAATTGCATGGTAAAATGCTTGATTCTATAAATATCAAGAGATCGATGCCTCCGAATGCTTGGTTGTGGTCATTGATTGAGAACTGCCAAAACCCAGATGATATCAGGCTTCTATTTGACATTCTGCAGAATCTTCGGAGATTTGTGAGTATTTTATTGCTCGCTTCTTGATGCGTTGTTATAATTTGTAAATTGTCACTTCTTGCATATTTTGAGAGATTAAATTGTATTCCGATGATTCTGTGTGCTGCTCTTGGTTGCAGAGATTGTCCAATCTTCGTATTCATGACAACTTCAATTGCAATCTCTGCCGAGAAGTTGCTAAGACGTGTGTACGTGTAGGGGCAATTGACTATGGTAATCCTATATTTCTTACCTGAAAGATCTGGCTTTTGCTTCCCTTGGATTTTCATATCACAATTGCCTGTTTGATATTTCTTCCTCAGCTGACAAGAATGTGACAATATTAATGAAGTTCTCATAATATGTGACTGCAGGAAAGAAGGCTCTCTGGAAACATAATGTTTTTGGTTTGACGCCTAGTGTTGCATCTGCACACCATCTACTGGTAGTTTCCTTTTACAATGCTATCGATTAATTCTGTTTCACACACCGGCTTTATAATTTTGTTTTCATGTAGTCATATGCACGAGAGCAGAAGGATGATAAACTGATGGAGGAGGTGATGAAGCTCCTGAAAAGGAATGACCTTCCTCTACAACCAGGTACAGCAGATCTAGTTTTCAGGTATGTATATTATTTATATACCTTGTGAAAAAAATGAAGCATGTGTAATCAGATTTATGCTGCCTTGGCTGCTTATCAGATGATCTTGCTTAACATGGAATGAACTTTTAAATGTCTGCAGGATCTGTCATGATACGGATAACTGGAACCTACTGGCCAAGTATTCGAAGAAATTTTCCAAAGTGGGAGTCAAGTTGAGGAAGACCACATTTGATGCTTGGATGGAATTTGCTGCCAAGAGAGGTACTTGCGGTTTTCATTGATCTCTTGGTCTAAGGAAAGTCTTTTCCTCCATAGAATCTATCAATGGCAAATGAGATTTATGTTAATGTACTACTACTAGTGATGCAAGAAGTGGAAGGAAAAGGCAACATTGCACAAGAAGGGGTCATAACAAAACACTGTTCTGCTTGAGAAAGATTTTTGCTATTATACTTAGATATCAATTTGTCATGGTGTTTTATGTACTCATCTGCTATCAGGAGACACGGATTCGTTGTGGAAAGCTGATGGATTGAGATCTGAGACTTACAGTCAACACCCTCTTTCCAGTGCTTTTTCTTGTGCTAAGGTAACCGATCTTTCTGCATCTTCACATCATCTGTACTACCACACCTACTTCGTTCGCTGTAAATAATATGTTGGATAATCCTTTTAATTACTCTTCCATTACAGGGTTTTCTGCTAGAAAATAAATCTGAAGAAGCTGCTGCTGTCATCCAGGTCATCTGCCAGGTAAAATCCGAAAACCCGAATATCCACTGTTCATGGATGAGCGAGAATACCCTGATTCCCCATCCTTAAGATTTTTGTGTTTTCTGCATATGCAGACATTTCCTGATGCAAAGAAGTCAGTTCTTGCTGCTGAATTCAAGAAGCTGGTTAATGAGTGGCCTGTAGACGTTATCAAGCGCCAACAGGAGGAAGACAAGAAGGTAAAAACAACTTCCACCGGCACAATGTTTATTTTTCTCTGTTGCAAATTCCTGAAAACCCTAACTCAGCATGTTACCTGTGTCTTATAATGGTAACAGGCTGTAGCTGCTTCACTGAAATCCAACATCCCTGCCATGGTTAATGAATTGCTGAACTCGGGTTTAGACGTGAACATCGATTTAGACGAGTTAAACAAGAACGAAGCTCTTCTTAGCTGATGATCCAATCGCTTGACGAGATCCTGAGATGGGTTTGAAGGGACGTGGCTTATTCATATTGTCGTTCGGGTTTTGGTTTTTGGTACTGTATCCCTTGTGTGTCCAGGGTTTTGGACACTGGACTGGCATACTCTTTTGTAGTGTCAAATAACGTAATTCTCCAAAGAAGTTTGCTTCTTGATGGGTAATGATCTGATCTCGTTTGTGAAATTAGCCAACACCAAAGCGGAGCTGTAAAGATGGTTCATGGATTCAAATTTTGCTCAAGAATCTTTCAGATGTGTTCGAGTGTGAAAGATGTGGATTTTATGACAGGAACAAAAGGAACAGTGATGAAAAATAAACGTAGCTAACGAGCAGAGTTATTTATTTTGGCAAATCACATAAACCTAATAGCATCAAACACGACAAGAATCAGAAACGCGACAGAGGCAAGAAGGGAGACAAAAAGGGAAGCAGCCACAGTGCGACAGAACCCATGGAAGACATTGCAGACTTTGTTCCACATCACATGTTTGTTCCCTTGAAAACCCATCAGCCCGATTGCTCCCGCGGCTCCGGTGCCGGAAAAGAGCAGAGCCACCGTCACGAGATCTCCCATTAGCAATGCCACCGCCACGGCCTTGCCTTTCTTCTTGCCTCTCGTGACCGTCAGAATCCACGTTGTGACCGCTGCATAGCCGCACGCGATTGCGTTTGCTGTAATGTTGTACCTAAAATTTGGAGCGTGTGAAGTGAATCGTATGCGATATCTGATAGTCTTTTTCTATCGCTTATTGAGCGAGATATGGTTTGATATATATGGCAGTTGTCATCATCCTCGTGGGGTAGACATTATTAACAACATTCAACCTTTAATCCTCAACATGCAAATCAGTATGTCATCAGAGATGCATATATATGCTTAGTTAGTTTAGTACGTATAACCCAAAAATAAGTAGATAGAGAGAGAGAGAGAGAGAGAGAGAGAGAGAGAGAGAGAGAGGCTCACACAAAGGCAGACTGGTAAGTGGATTTAGCAGTGTAAGAGACATGAACAGGAGGCAAAGTGGGGAGAATCTTCAGAGGCACGATCTTTGTCTCTTTGCTAACACCAAGGATCACTGCAGTCGCCAAAGTAAGAACAGAAGCCAGCAATCTCATCACTAATTCAGACCAAACTCTGCCATTGTTGTTATGACCATCTGATCCTCTCTCTGTCCCATTCAAACCCTTCTCTCTGTCCTCTTCTCGATCCATATCAAGAAAGAACTTTATGACAGGGGATAGACGAAACCCCAATGGTATTTTTGCTTGATACAACTTTTCATGTCCTTTTTGGTTGAGGAGATTTGTCTATATATACACAAGGGCATATGCATGCATGTATATCATAATACATATGATCATGCGTACCCACATCTCTGTATGTGTATATGTATACACACACACACGCAATTAGCTTATACGAAGGACAATGACATCATAGATGGGCATGGGAATCTATGATATACATAATATTCTAAATAGAAAGTCAAATGCTAAATGGTTTCCATACAAATCACGAGTTAATTAACATAATCTAAAGGTCCAAATGCAATCTTCGATCTCTCCAATGCTGACTTCGTTTCATCTTCTTTTTTTCTTTTTCTTTTTTTCTGTGATGTCGTAAGTGTAAAACAATATATTCATCGCTTAATTCAATTGTTCAATTGTATTTTGTATACTATATGATATTTTTGAAAAAATTCTAAACTAAAAAAAATGTGTTTTTGTGTTACACAATATTTTTTATTATTTTATATTATTTACAGCTTAGCATTAGTAATAATTCGCAGTATATCAAAAATACCATCCATTTGCTATTTTTATTTCAAAACATACCATTTTTTAATTGTGACCATATGACCCATGTGATCAGAAATTTAATCATGGTCACATTTGTCATAACATTGAATTTATAAATTTTTTATCGAATGATTAGTGGGATATATAAGATATGAACATAATGAATAAGTGTGATCATCATAAATTTAACGTTATGGCAAAAATGACCAAGATTATATTTTTGATCACATGGGTCATAGAATCACAGATGGAGAATGGTATGCCTTGAAGTCAAAATAGCAAAGTAAGAGTATTTTTTATAATGACCCAATATAATTATTACATACGACGTTATTTGCGGTAAAATGTTAAAATTATAAAAAAGAACAAAATTAAATATAATATAGTATACAAATGCAATATAAAATTCTTCAGCAATATCCAATTGGACTTGGTTATATCATTATCATATTAGCTTTGTTTGGAGGTGCAGTCACACACCAATGAGTACGAGATTATTTTGTAGCATAAATGTGAAACTTTAGTAAATGAAAAAATGATTCAGCGAAAAAATGTTATTGATTATATATATTTTGATTGTTAGTGGTTCCATACAGTTCGTTGATTTATTAATATTTTTCCCGTTTTCAATTAGGTTGTTTCAGAAATAATTAATTTGACGAAATAAAACAAATAAATTGATAATTGGATATTAATTGAAAGTGACATACTTATAAATGATATGTACTTTTTTTTACCTAATAAATTGGAAAATATATGGCTGAAAAATTTTGCCTTTTTTAGGTAATAAATGATTATAAGACTTTACAAAATACATCCATCAATCTTTAATTAGGCAATCAATTAATGAATATCAACCCATATGATTTTGCAAAACAAAATTCAACAATATTTAATCAACAAAACAACGAATACCAACCGTATGATTTATATAGTATATTTATATGCAATACATGGGGGTTGCTAGGAATGCTAATAACTAGGGGTGTAAAATGGGCGGGTCGGGCCGGGTTCGGACCGGTTCAATTCGGGCCTAGAATTTTTCGGGCCGGGCCGGCCCGCCCATTTATTTTTCGGGTCTAGGATCGATGACTCGGAGCCCGGCCCTACAGGGCTTCGGGCGGGTTCGGGCCGGGCTTCGGGCTTTTTATTAAATATTTTTTTTTTGCGATAATAATAATAATAATAATATGAAACATTTAACAAAAATATTTTTAAAACCGATAACAACAAAGTTATTTAGTTCACAAATAAAAATAAAATTAAAAAAATTATCCAATTGTTCAATTCTCCAACACCACAACATGCGATTAAAAACTTTTAAACGTGATAAAAAATAACAAACATAATATAAAAAAAAATTTATGATGTAATTAATTTAAAACCTATAGAAAAAAATCAATATGTTCATGTACAAACAAAGGTTTAAAAATATATATATTTGAAAACTTCTACCCTTTCTAAAATAATATATATATATATATATATATATATATATATATATATATTTGGGCACACATATTTACAAGTATAGAGAGGTAAAACTTTGGTTTAGAAAAGAAGGTTAGAAAAAACAAAACAAAATTAACGGGCCTCAAGCCCGGCCCGAGACCCGACTGGCCCGGCCCGACCGGCCCGTAGCCCATTTGGCCCGAGGCCCGAAAGCCCGAAGTTTAATGAGCCTACATTTTTTAGGCCCATGTCCTTATAATTTTCGGGCGGGCTCGGGCCGGATTTCGGGCTCCGGGCTTAATTGACATCCCTACTAATAACAACAATATTAGCCAGAAAAAAAGTTTTTTTTTTCAGGCATGGAGTCTTTTTTTTTTCTACATCTCTAACGTTTCTTAGACATTAGACCATATCAAGGTATTTGTGATTAAAGATACTTTTCCGTAAATTTTTTTTGTATGCCCTATTTTTTATTTTTAGTGAAGCGTGCCTTGTCTTTGGCATTTGTTTGTTAATGAAATGTGAGGTGTATATGTAAATAATGTAGTAAAAATTGGACATATATATCCATACACACACGTATGTATAATGGTGTCTACAACTCTGATTATAAAAAAATAAACCCCAACTATTTTGGACGGTCATATATATAGACCATAATACTATATATTATTATATGATTTCTATTGTTCTTGATCTCTCCTCTAGCGTCAAACTTAGTCGAGGGATTGCATATTTTTAGTGATTCACTTTTGTTCATATAAAAATGATCTCTACATATGTATAGTGTATATATATGTGTGTGTATGTGTTATATATATATATATGTATGTATGTATGTATGTATATAATCAAGGGGTCGACCTCCACTTGTGACAAATGGGGGAAGTACTGCCCCGTCGGAGAAGACAAGGGCCGTACGGTCGGACGAACCAGTGATAGTGGTCGGAGGAATCACGGTCCCGGCTGATTAAATTTGAATATTGGATTCTATATATAAATGGCAATGTAATTGTCATCAGGTAAGTTCCAGCGTCGTCCCGAACAGATTCGTGTTGAACTTGAATCCCCACTCCCGTCCGTACGGTATCGTCCTCACGCCCAGATCGTCGTCTCCCGATCTGCAATGGACCCTAAGCTTCGCTCGTCTGGGGAGTTCGTTGACGATGAACACTGCCTTTAATTCCGGTTCGAACACGTAATCCCATAACAAGTTTCCACGGCATAGGTGATGGTTTTCTGATGATAACATGACCAGCAACATCATCACCACCATCGTCGTCGTCTTCATGAAGGTAAACCCTAATTTGAGTTTCACCATGGTTTTTCTTTTTCCCTTTCTTCTCGTGGGCTGTGATCAAAGTGTCCCGTTTTTTTAATATTTAATTTATAACGTTATAACGTATCTTCTAATTTATGATTATATGTTACAATATAAGTTATTTGCGAGCTACTTGACGTGTGAAACTACTGTTGTTATTACATCACCAATATATATATATATATATATATATATATATATATACATATAGCGTAAATAAGAAGAGTTTAATAACGTATAAAAAAAAATCTAAACGTATTTTGGTAGTTTTAATTAATAGGTCATTATGAATCCATTTATTACTTATTTGATATGGAAAAGAAGAATGTACATGAATTCAAGACCATGACCATTATATTTTGGGATATATAATAATTTATTGATCATAGAATTTGTATTTTAATTTACTAATCTATTTCACACCATTATTTGTATTCTTCTAGTTTCTATTCTTACCTATCAGTAATTATTTGTAATTTTCGGACTTTTAATTATTATTATATAATAAATAAATAAAACAAAATTGCTCTCACAAAATCTCTTGTACGCGCTGTAACTGCAAGTTCCTTGGAACGAAGAAGCCAAAAACTTTCCGTACCGACAAGTACTCCGACCGACGGAAAGAGGTAAGAAGGCCAAATGTGTTGTGATGTGTCTTATGATCAGACATCGCCGTCGCCACCGTCGCCGCCGTGATCTGCATAGCCGTCGCCATAGTTGTCGTCGTCATGCTGTTCTTGCTCTTGTTCTGCATCTCCGCCGTACATTGCGACTGGAACCGTCTCTTCTTCGAAACCCGATGCTTCGGCCATCATTTCTACATCTTTCTCCTTCACTCTCATTTCGTTTAGATTCTCGTCGCTGAAAAACGAGGCCAGCGGCTTCGATACCTGCCAACATAAGAACACGTTATCTCGGTTATTTTCTCGCCAAGCAAAATCATTTCCGGAGAGTAAAAGCTGTAGATCATAATAGCAAGTACTATAATCCATATTGAAGTTTGAAGTAGGGGTGTAAACGGGTCAGGATTCGCAACACAGCTTACTCTCAGCTTGTTTTTAGGCAAACCGAGTCAGGGTTTTTCTTTCTCGAGCCGGCTCATCACGAACCACAGACTAGCTCATGAAGTACAAAATATTTTCCTTAATTTTTAATTATTTTATTAAGATTTCAGATTTATTAATGTTTTTTAATATTTATATTTTTTATTTGATTCGCGAGCGCAAGCGAACCGAGTTAAGGCCAAGCATTATCTGGCTCGTTTAAAAACGAGCTGGGCAAAACCAAACCCAAAAATTTCGAGCTCACGACAATCCGGGCCAGACCGAGTCGAGCCAACTTGTTTTATGCCCCTAGTTTGAAAACCTCGGGATTTGAAAAAATTTCACTGTTATACATCTTGGGGTAAGTTCAAGATCGTTTTTTCATTTACCTTGAATAGTTGATTTCTCTGCTCAGCACTTTCTATGAGATTTCTCCAGTGTTCATCATTCCTCAACGTTGCAGCCGAACCAACAACCTGAAATTGAAGTTCAAGAGACTGTCTTATACAAGAAAACAGAGAGAGGTAACGTATATAGATAGGCGCCTGTTGAAATTTAACGCACCAATACTGAAGATTTAGCTCGTGTAATCCCGACATTCATTCTCCGGAAGTCAGATACGAAACCTATCCCTCCTTTCTCGTTCGCTCTGACACATGAAAATATTGCAACATCCTTCTCCCTTCCCTGTAAAATGATCACGAAATGAAGAAAAAAGTGCGAAAAAAAAAAGATTTTAATTTGTGGGTTACAATGCAACTTTTACGAATCAAACGAAAACATATTTTCAACCAGATACAACAGATGAAGTTTCATCGAATTTCAGAGCCAACCCAGTTGATGTTTCAGTACAAAAAGTCAATATGATCACTCTCGATGGGAAATATAACGGATGGAAATATTACCTGGAAACCATCGACTGTGTTTATATCGACAACTTTTTCTGCCTCCACACCGAACATCTCCTTGAACCGATTCTTAAAAGTTTTAACTTGGTAGCTGTATGGAGATATGATAGCTAGCTGAGAACTTGATTTAAGCTCCGGGTACATGGATACGAGTTTATGGTAGATGAGAAGAACGAATTCCACTTCGTCTAGATTTATCCAAGATCCAGTTCCCTTCGTGTATATCGAAGAAGCAAAATGGACCAAAGCAACGGTATTTATGCCATTCACGGCTTGTCTGAGCTTCAATGTCAGATCCATCTTCCAGTGCCTCATCATAGAACTCTTTTGAAGGGAAGCATCTTATCTTGATTTTTACACCAAAAGGAAATAATAGTCAAAGGCTTTAACAACTGATTATAGTTCTTAAAGTTTATCGATTACTAAAAAATTTATGTAATAAGGATATTAAACGAGAGCATATGATCATACCTGTGGATGCATCCGGTATTGGGTCTTCAACATTTTTACTGGGTAACCAGCCCTTTGAAGTCTCTTGAACAAGCTTGTACCATAGCTTCCATTGAAGAAAGGAAAAAGACATGGTTAAGAAAAGATTCGAACAATATATGTGAAGAGGATTACACGAAAACTTAATGCCCCGACACAATGAGAGACCAACCCAAATTTCTCAGCGACAGGAGAGATCACAGTGGCCGGAAGTTGAACTGGATCTCCTACCTGAAATTATCATGAAAGAAAATAACAGAGATGCGGTCATGATGAAAACAATAAGCCATTTGTAAGAATTTTAACAAAAGAAAGAAAGGCAGAGCCTATAAGAGGTTACCAGAAATACTTGTTTACATCCTGTTGCCAGAGGGACAAGAGTTGCTGGCTCAACCTGCAAGTGAAATGTGAGATTAAATTACGTTAATAATATTACGAAGTGTCAATAAACATTTACATATTTTCTACCCACAAAGCAAATCACTTGAGAAAAGCTAAGTACTCTTAGGGAGGAATCAGAAAGAGTTTTCGGCATTATTAAGGGAGAAAGACAAAGTAAAACGACACCATGCCTTATTCTGAATGGGAAAGAACCATTTAACTTTGTATTTAGTAGGAGAATGAGAATGAGATTATTCTATGATTTCTGAAACTGCTAGGTATTATATAGTTATTAAGATCAAAGACTAGCTAGAGTTTCATGTTTCAAGAAGAGACCACCACATGTTTACATGTCATGAAAACTACAAGAAATAGAAGTATCTGAAAACCCATGCATTAACCTATTTTCAGACAAGTAATTTCATGTTGAAAAATGTAGAAAATTGAAGGGCCCTTACAGCTTGTGCAGCTTCATCTATTATAACAACATCGAAACCACGGGTTGATCTGGTGAGAAGAGCAGAACCACTGAAGCTAAGTGTAGAGAACACCTGAAAAGAACATGGAAACGGAATTGGATATTCAGGAACATGTATGATAAAAACATAAAAAAAAAATGATGAAACACAAAGGGGCCAGTCTCCAATACAATTGCAGCCTCGTCCAGAATCGCAGCACGTATATTATCCAAATCAGTTCCTGCGGTTCCTTGTTTTGGTTTATCAGATGCCGAGCCACGTTTTTGAGCCACCTGCAAAGTGGTGTTTGTCAGCCCGATTTCCAAATACATGTTTTTAATTCAATTCAAAATTAGCAGTTTCTTCATCTATCCTCCACAAGTTTAGTCCCTTCAGACCGAAGATTCATCCTAGCATAACCAATGGAACTTGTATAGGCCAAATAAAAAGATTCATTTCCAAATTGTAAAATTACAAGAAACAAACAGATAAGAGAAAGAACCAACAATAGAAGCTGCTAGATACATACAAGGTGATCCAGCGATACTGACATGACTGAATGATGTGGCTTGAGACCAATCCGTACGATTTTGGGCGTATACGTTTGGACGTTTTCATCACGAAGACCTGAAAATACAAAAGGTTATACCATTTTATAATAAAATAATTTTAAAGAGTTGTACCAATCACACAGTCTGCAAAGGAAATTTCAAATGGTTTAGCATCTGTCGAAAGAATCACATACCGGTAGTTAGAAGCCGTAACACAATCTCATCAAGCGCAGAGTTTGATGGAGCACAAACAAGTACACGTATTCTATACTTCCGACTGGCATTAACCACCTCTGGTTTCTGTATTGTGTTACAGAAGATCAGATAGTGGGTTTCCCTAAATTCACGTAATGACATCTTCAGACAGACATACCAATTCATTTCCAGTGGTTGGGAAAAAGCCGTCATCACCATCAACAGGCATTATAGCATCTCTGGGGTTGCCACCAAATAGCCAAGGAGATGCTCGTTTCCAGTGAATGTATCTGACCCATAAATATATAGGACAAGTTAACTATGAAATCAGAAATTCAGACAGGGATATCCATCAATTTCAACTCCTAGTTTCAAGTTTCCAAGTCGAAGAGCGTGATCTCCTCTGAAAAGATTTGCAAATTATAACATATGTAGTGAAGAAATGTGAGAATAAAATGGCAGAAAAAATATTAATAGAGCGAACAGAATCATACTTCTCTTCAGTGGTCATTTCAAGTCCACGCTTCACTGCACGCTCTACACCTCTTGTTTTTCAGTGAGATAAGAAGCCAAGAAAGAGGGTCACAGTTTAGAATATGTAGAGATAAATTAAAGCAATTCTAGCTAAACAAACATCGCAGGGATAGAAATGTCAAGTTCCATACTTAGATTGGACTCTAGCTGGAGTTGCATGCAGAATGGCACTGAGGATACTCAGAATTGTCTGAGTTTTTCCAGTACCCGGAGGACCCTAAAGGAAGAACAGAGTCAATATTCTTATGGAATTGTAATCAGTTCAATTCCAACCGCTTGTAAATGCAATTTGGAGAAGAATTCTCCTAAATTCCTCGTATAGCCAGGGAGTTACAATACCAATTCAGATATTGCAGACTTCAAGATGCCCACATTTTTTATGTATCTTTTATTGTAATCTTGAGACTCAAATAGAAACACAATGGAGAAGAAACATAATGATAACTCGTTGCAAAAAATGCTAAAACAAGTTCAAAGAAAAAGTCAAACCTGTATTAAAACAAAAGATTTTCTTGAGAGACCAACCTGCAAAATATTTCATTTCGATAAAAGGAGAGAAAATATATGTTAGTAAAAACCTGTGGCGAACAGGAAAATTGTTCACAGGCCAGGCAGAAAACAGTCTGTTCCCCCTTACACTTGCAAGAAAGAACCAAGTTTACAATCTAAAAAATGGAAAAGAAGGAAAGAAAGACAGTCGAATGATAAAGAGCATACTTACATCAATAGCTTCTTTTTGGGATTTATTGAGATTTTCTTTAAAGAATTCATGCAGAGGTTCTGATATTTTCCACGCCTCATCTCCGTAACCACAAGATTTTTCTGCTGTAGTTAGTATTAAATCCTTAAAAGGGAGAGAGCTGACCGACCGTAATGCTACATATTCCCGGATAATTGTTGATAAGCTACATAACTGCAAAACAATTGAACGGGAGCTATGGTTTAAGAGAGGCAAATCCAATGGGCAGTGTCACGGGATGAAGATTATGTATAGGATATGGGGAAAAGGTTAAAAAGTTATTTATTCATTTCTCATCAGACATTGAAACACACAAGAGTCGTGAGTGCTCTTCGGATATACTTGTTTAACAGATTGATAGAAGTCGTTTGAGCACATGCCATTGTCAACATGTATTCTAAGTTATCAAAACCGGAAAACCATGTTTCCACTAATCTAGCAGTAGTCTAAAAGAATCAGAAACAAAAAAATAAATAAATAAAGACCGAGCTCACGCATTGTGAAAGGATAAAGGAACAACCAAAAACAAAAAATCAAGAAAAGAAAGGAACTACATAGATATATGATCAAATATTAGAAACGAAAGCATGCTACTAGATCTTCATGTTTGTAAATAACTAACCTTTAAACTAAACAATCTTTTCTCTACGGCGCTAGCAGATGATGTAATAAGAGTCCTCATATTTGATAGGGCTTGGATATATGATGCTGTTCTTGAGGGCTTAATATTTTTGGTTATCTGCACCATCTCTTCAGCTAAATACATGCGTAGACGTAGAAGATTCCTTTGGCGATGTTCCACCAATGCAAACGCGTAGGACGATGGAAAAAAATTCTCTTTAACCTGCAAAAGGTAATTGCCTCGATGAATCCTGCATTCAAGAATTACTACTATAGAAGAAGCTGTAAAAGAGATTAAAACAATAAGCAATGATATACAAAATAAAACAAAACGTCTCCCCCAAAATCAGGAATATTACCTCCTCTTTCGATAACATCAAAAAATCATTCTGAGAAATCGACTCGTCCTCATCTGCTTCATATGTGACTAGTGGAAAGTGAAACCCATCAGCCTCGCTACACTCCATTACTAGCCTCATTTTACACTCCGGTGCTGTCATAATCAAGCAGACATTAGAAATGAGGGGAAAACAAAGATAAAGAAAGACAGGAAAGTCATTTCACAGACAAACAAATGTGTTAAGAAATATTTGAGTGATTGATATGGCCTAACAGCAAAAAAACATAGATAAACAACATTTTATAAGGAATTGAATATGCATCCAGAAATATATATAGGGCGAAGTAAATGCTGGAAGAATAGGGAACTCTGGCAATCAATAAATCAAAGCCTTGGTTGCATATAAGTATCAAAACTAACAGGAGAACCAAGATAAATATGATTAGCAGAACTGAAAATCCGCTCCTACTTTTTCTTCCATGATCATTAGATTAAACAAACAGAAAATAACCGATAGGCGATAGCTGCAAATAAATAACTTCCAAAGTTCCAATAGTTTTCAAATTATTTTCATTTCACAAACCTTCGTCACTGTCTTTTCTCTGCACAATTTGAGCTTTAACTTCCTCAAATAGAAGTGGCTCAAATGTCTCCAAATAATCATCAACATCTTCGTAAGTATCTTTTATTTCCTTTAACCTCAAATTAGAATTCTTTCTGCCTTTCCCCTGAATCATCAAAATTGAATTGAAATTGTGAAAAAGAAAACCAAATAGAAAATGTATTTACCCTTTACAACAAAACCATCCCTTATCAAAAGAATCCCCCATAGCCGATAAAGAAAAAAGAAAAATAGGAGCTCCAGGATTAGGAAATACCTCATATTCTTGCATAAGCTGTTTAAAGTCCCAGCCTAGAATTATTTTGCAAAAACGAATAACCGAAGCTTCTTCTTGAAGCTTGTCCTTGTCAACTGCCATTATGCCGATTTCTCTCTCTACAAAAATTTACAGCCAGCTTCCACTAGAACAAGAATTAAAGTACAGGTTATCATTATATAACGAAAAACAGAGCATGCATACTTTGGTAAGAATAAAAAGAAACACAAAAAAAAAAAACTGATCGATGCAGACAAGACAAACAAAACTATCCCACACAAAAGATCAGACTTCTACAAAAGCTAAAAAAGTTCAGGAAGTAGATACCAAAATATACAATTGGAGGGAAAGGAGACTGAGCAATTCTTGATGAACAAAACTCAATATACCAAGGTTCTTCCCAATTGGTGGGAAAGTAGCTAAACAAACTTTTATCATTCATAGGGTCACCACAGTGGCGTTGAGATTTAATTGGGGGTTGAATTTTGATTAGGTTAGATTCAGCCTAGATCAGTGGAATTTCAATTGAGTTAAAAATCAAATTTTTATGAAGAATGCATCTCGATTCGTTAAACCCAACTAGCACCAGATTCCAACTCATAATAGCTGCTCAAAAACTCTGATTTTCCATGAAAACCCGAACTATATACATCAAAAGCTCCGAACTTCGTCAAAAACCTAAGGCTCGCAAGCCTAAACCAAGAACACCCGATATTATTCACTTAATACAAATTACGCAAACAGATTCAAAACCCGATTTCGACAAACATAAACCAAGGAAAAAAATCAAACGTCGGCGGATAAAGGAAGAATTCGAACTAAAGGTACCTCAAATTGGAAAGTGACGATCTGGGTTGAGGACGAAACCCTAGAATCGGAGGAATTCAATGCCGTCGATGGTGGTATGGCAAAGAGGGGATCTTTTCTACTGTTGAACTTGAAACGGCGAGGGTGAGGAAAAGGAAGCGAGGAGAATCCTCCTTGTATTTTTTGAAAGAAGTTTTTAGTCAGGGAAAAAAGGAAGTACCTTTTTCCGTCCCCAATTAAAAAATCTTTAAAAAAAAACGTTGTTTTTGTTCACTGAATGTTCTTTCCTTTTTTTTTTCTTTTTTTTTTAACAAGATCCGCGCCGCGATGTGCGGTTTAATATATATATATATATAGATATTTATTTTTATAAAATTTATTAATATAAATATTATAAAATGATATAAAGTATTTATTTAATATAGATTGAATTTATTGATAAAATTTAAATGTTGTAAAATTATTGTTGTTCATTATATAATAAAAATAGATCTATCGTTCTCTTTTCTACACGTAATTTTTATGTTAATGATTTGTTGTGGATTCTCAATTTTGTTTCGATCTATACAAAACGTTTTGTTATAAATTATTAAATAAAAATAATATTATTAAATATTATACTTGTGGTTTATTTTAAAAATGATTGAATCTGTATACTTTATATCAAACTTTTGATGATATTTAGTTATGCATCTATCGTATAAAATATTTTTTAGAATTTATTGATATGAATACATTAAAAATTGATATAGATTATTTATTTGATATAGTAAAAATATATATGTTATATTCATTATTATAAAACTAACATTATATTGTTTGTATAAAGAAATAAAATAGTGAATGAATTGAATTGTCATTATATAGACGACGTATAGATTTGATGTCACCAAATTATTTTGATCGTCTTCAATATTAATCTTTATTTTTTTCGATATTTATCAAAACTTTAGTTATAAGGATGATAAAAATAGTATTTTTAAATATTATACTTATAGTTTTTTAAATATTAAATTTATATATGTGTCACTAACTTTTTTTTTAATTTTTTTATGATGTTAAATTTTTCACCTATATAATTTGTTTAAATAATAACGTGTTAACTGTTAATTGATTCATAAAAAATATATTTATATACTTAATACTCATATTATTTTATATAAAAATCTATTAAATATATAGAGGTTTTTTTATGTTGTAATATGATCAAATATGACATGCATACGTACATATAAGGGAGCAGGGACATATGTCCCCACTCAAAAAAATTAAAAATACAGTAATGCATTTATAATTTTTATAAAGTTTCAAGAGAGTTCAAGAGTACTCAGTTAATTTTTTATGTGGACCCTTTCCCATCTTTTTTTCTGTTTTTTGTATTATAATTTTATTAAAAATAGGTTATGTATTGTTTTAGTCATTTTTGTTTTTTCTTTTTCAATTTAAAATTCTTTACTAATACAAAATTACTTTGAAAAGGTTTTTCTAATACAAAATTACTTAAAACAAAACACAGTTATAAACACAATATTTAGTTGTCATTTCTATTGTTTCCATTTATTTTTTATCTATTTTTAATCTTCCATCTTTTTTCTAGTCTTTAATCATATAAAAAATAAAGAATAACCAAATTAAAGGTATATAAGTGTTATAATTTTTATTTGAAGTAATAATTGTGGTTATTAGTGGATTATATATGAATATAACTTTTGCGAGTCTTGTCCGTTGTTTGTTTTAATTTGTTTTTAATTGTTTTTACTCATTCAGTATAATATAATAAATTACAATTACAGTTTTGTACTTTTCTATATAGTGATAATTTTTTTTAATTGTAATAATTTATTGATTTTAAAATTTTTTATATATAAGATTTTAAATATAAGTGTAATTAAATAAAATTCAATAATATATAAAACTAATATCAAAATACTAAATACACTTTAAATATAAGTGTAATCCGATTAAAATAACAATATTAAATAAAATAAATAGAAAAATAGTTTTTTATAAAATAAAGATGACCTTTTTATTTTTAATTATACTAATCTATTAATAATTTTTTTTTATGTAATACAAGTACACTCAAATAAAAATATTAATAATATATACAATTAAAATAAAAATAGAATTTTTTATAATAAAGATGAATATTTTGAATTATAATAATCTATATTTATGGTAATAGGTAATGAGAATTTTAATAACCAAATAAAATTAAATAAAATTGTCACATAGATGATGAAGCGGTCGTTGAGGTATTTCTCATTAAATTACTTCAAACACAATTATTTATATATATAGATTTAGTTGAAAAAATATAGAATAATTTTTTTTATAAAGATAAAATATATGTTTTTATTAGTTTATGGTATTATGTAAAATTATTTCAATATAAATTAAAATTGTTTAGAAAAAGAGCAAATATATATGTGAAAAATAATGAACCAATGCGATGTTTACAAAATAATACATGTTATTTATAGGTATAAAAGAAAAAAAATAAAGAAAAATGACATAATAATACAAACGGCTAGTTACAAAGAGAAGATAGAATAGAGACATTTACTTGACTGTATACATTTCTTAACACAAATATCTCGTTATATTGGTTTGTACATGAGGTTGTCCATTGCTTTCTCTTGTGGAATTTGCCATTGCTCATTTTATTTGTGATCCACTTCGTATCTTGCAAGATATATCAACAAAAAAAAAATTGCAAGATATATTTCTCATTAAGTGAAATTAATAATGATGTAAATCACTTGTTCTATAGGAGACGACACATAAAATAATTGATCTTTTATTTTGTTATGTCACACATGTAGAAAGTCTTAAGTTCGAAATGGTTAACACGAGGAAAACTTCTCGGGTAAGTGTCTAAATCTCTTTCAATTTCGGTATAAAATCTCACACGAGTTTGGATTTAGAAACAATTAGGTTAAAAAAAAGTATTGGAAAAAAAACCAAATAGTTGTTTTCTTTTTCAAATATTAATGAGTCTAAGTCCAATTGAGTTTAAGGTCCAAATTTAAAATTGAAGCCCAAATTAAAAGAGGTTACTTGTGAAGTCCAAATTAAATTCAAAGAGATTAATTGAAAAGTCCAAAGAGTAAGCCCAATATCTTTTATTTAAAAGTGTTTTGTGGAAGAAAAAAAATTTGGAATATTATTTTTGTTTTTTTTTTTGAAAAAAAAGGTTTAGTTAAACAAAATCGAAAGTAACTTTTCCTGTAAATTGGGGAAGCAAGCTTTGTCTTAGCGAGTCGGGTTTGAAGAGGAAGCCCTTTATATCCTCCTCATAGTAAGGACGTGGGAATCGGGGTGAACCCTCTGGCTATCACTGGAAGCGAGCCAAACCAATTTATAAGTTAAGTGAAACTCGGTTTAGTTTATAAGCTTTGTGAAAGCTAACAATGATTGGATTTATTCAACAGATCATTGATAATCCAAGAAATCCCATGGATTCAAATACTGCTCCAGGGAATGAGATTTATGCTATGGATATCGATGAGAATCCTCATATAGCGGAGGTTACTAACCCCGTTAATCATGATGTTACTGGCACAGATATGAATAATCAAGTGCCAAACGTCGCGAACGTTGTTGTCCTTCCAGGAATGGCTTCGGTT